CCCCCCACTCCCTGGAGCGTAAATTGCGTGGTGATCAACGATTGAAGTTCATTAAGAGAAGCTTTTTTTGCTGTCAATCGCTCTATTTCCTTTTTTAAATCTAAAGTGCTAATTGTACAGTTTAAATCATCTCCTAGCACGAGATAGATTGTCGTTCACGCACGGACTTAGAAATTCTTTTGAAAGGTCTCTGAAACATATAACTTGTTGAGTTGCATCGTTTGGCGCATAAATGTTTGCCAAAACTGTTTTAGTGCCATCAATAGAAAATGACTTCATCAGTAGTTTCGGATAAAATTCATCTGCCATAATTATCGGAAGTAATGTTTTCGAAATTAATGTCAACTGACTGACGTGATTTGAACGAAATCTTAACTCTTCTACTGTGAGTAGGGCCGTAGCTGGACCGCAAGAAAATTATATCCGATTGCTGCTTGACTTGAAAAGCTTGTCTTAAATAGAGTAAGGGTTTTGGGAAGCGGACATAAAGCAGACTAGAGTTTAGAGCTTATTCTAACTTTTAGGAAATTATACATAGTGTTCAGTCCTTCGCCACGGAAAATGGCATCGTCCATGATGAGTCTTTCGACGTTGAACTGGATGCAGTCCTCAGTCTTGCGCTTGGCCGCCTTTAGTACCGGCTTTATTTTTTTCTATTATGTCGTCGGCGTCTTTAGGAAAATAGTCGGATATTCCAAATCCGGTATCTCTTGGGAGATTTTTGATTAAGGATTTGATAAAAGCATTATCTTGAAAGGTCGTCAACCTAGCCATAATCCGTCGCGGTGGAAGACTTCGGCCATTTGATTGTGCTCGGCGCCTTTGCTGAGGCCGAGGAGCGACTAGCCTGGATAGCAAGCGTTTCCGTGGGGCTCGGGAGCAAAGAAAGACCGAGGAACGGGATTTTCAGTGTTTTGCCCAAGCGAAAACTGGGGCGAGAGCCACAAAAAGAAAGAGAGTTTTTTTTTCACGAGGCAAGTCTTTGCTCCCGAACACCACGGAAACGCTTGCCATGCAGGCTAAAGAGCGACCAGATGGCTGTGTTCGGATTTCAAACCCAATCTTCTGTTCAGTCAGGCCATGCCGCCTTTAAGTCGATTATATAGTGAGATAACAAGGAGAGCTCTTTTAAAGCCTCTGCAGTTTCTATGACTAAAATCCCTTGGCTTAGTAATTTTATAGGATTAAGAGAGTCTTGATCTAGGATAAGAACATGCTTTAAATTCAGTCCTTTCACTATTATAAACTTATTTATTCATTCAGTAATTTTTTTCTTCTATTCGTGCTTTATATTGGATAGTTCTTAAAAATTAATACTGTTTGAAGGAGGGCCCGATTTTTTACTTTGATCGGTCACAAGTCAAGATAAATTGCTACCCGGCTAGTTGCTGTACATGTGTCATTGCTAGCGCCTGTTGCACGCTAGCGCGCGTTAGGACTTGTCGCCGCACAATCTCGTTCCCAGAGTCTTCGTTCCCCTTGACCAACGGTCGGAAAACGAGAGCTCTGGGAGCAACCATTTTGAAATAACCGAATTCTGGTGATTCTGCCCATCCGGTTTCACTGCGCAGTCTGCATCTATGGCGCATGCCTGAAATGGTTGCTCCCAGAGCTCTCGTTTTACAACCGCTGGTCAAGAGGAACGAAGACTCTGGGAACGAAATTGGTCGCCGCGTTAAATGGAGTCATTAGGGAGTCCTGTGGCAGACAAATTACTTCTAACAAAGTTTTAAGTCGGACAAGAATCTCTTACGAAACAAGTTGTCACACGAATTGAGAAATGCTAGCCCTACTGGACAGTTTATATGAGCCAAAATCCGGTAGGGTTCTCCCTAATATGGGCTATATCGGTATGTGCGGCCCAAAGGGTAGGGTTTTTCAGCCGTTTTGGTCATAAATAGGGTATCGATTTTGGGCATTTAATTTTGGTCTTAAATAGGGCATGATTTTAGCAGTCTCATTCTGAATTGGGTATGTTTTTTAGAAGAAGCTACTTGGACCGCACATTTTTGGGAATACCGCCCCCCTCCTCCCTCTCCCCTTCCCCCGAGCCAACACACGGTAACGATTAAAACAGCATAAGCATCTGACTTTACGCGATTACATCATTATTCTTTATTATTTATCACATGACACACGGTGTTATGTTTCATGCAACTTGTTTAGTTGGGAGACAGTTCTCCTTTTAATAGATTTACGGCACATGCATTAACAGGAACCAGATATGGCTTTCGGCTCCAATAAGTCGTATACATTATAAGAAAGATACATGACCCTTGGTGCATGTTCGTGATTTCCTATTTGAATTGTTCGGATTCGATAATCCATTTCAGACGCGGTTAATTCATACAAAGGAAGAATACTGACCACAAGCAGGAGCATTTGCCTTTTTGATTGGCGTTTCATGGTGTGAATGGTAGGCGTTTTGGAACTTGATACATAACCCTTGAACTTAAGAAGATTTGAATTCCGGTCTTACACTGAAAATTCTTTCGTATCGAAAGAGTTAGTGGTATACGCCTTTAGATACGGCTTGTGAAGCGTGTAGCGAATATTCAAAAGACACAGGGACTAATTTGTGTTTGGGCAGTCAAGGCCTGTTCGAAAGAATCTGAAATCCTTGAAAGTTACGCCGAGTAAGAGGTCACGATCACTGAAAAAGGTAATAACTTATGCATGATAGAATCGGTCATTTAAATCTAGTTTCTCTTTTTGAAATTTCAGAGCGCTTTCACCTCGCCTAAAATTACTTTATTTCGTACTTTATGTGGGAGAGTTTCTCTAGTTACGTAATAATATCAATTACTCAATGATTTCAGGTATTAATATAAATTATATCAAATTGATGAGAAGTTTATAGCCCTTTGAGTTCAAATTCTGATCACCGCCATTGAACCGTCGTGCCGAGTGCGGGCTTGTGACTTTATTGTATGTTCATGATTAATAATCGTCGCGGGTAATATTTTCGATCCATAATAGGTATTTAGATATTATCTGTTATGTGCTTCGACGAGAAGATCACTTATGGAGACAAATCGTGAAATAATAACATGAAGAAGATGACTGTTTCCGCAGTTTGCGTGCAAGTTACGTCACATCTATTCATAGCTTATGAAAACAAAGAGCCTGATCTTTCATCCAGTTTCTTGGACACAATTTGGCGAAGTTGATATCTTGACAAACGGATATCTTGTGGTAAAATTTTTGGCAAAACTAATACGGTTTAAATCCGGAAGTTTGGAGACATTTCACGAGTTGCATTCTTTGAGCAAAAAAGAAATCGACAGCGGGTTTTGGTTAAGGAGAAATTAAAACAGCAAGGGCACTCGGAAGTCATGCTGAAGTTTGCTTTCCAGCATATTTTAATTCCATTTATCAGTTTGGTGCCTCAACAATTACCCACGAAAAGGGGGCATTTGTAGGCTGGCATGACCATAGCCTCAGGGTACAACCGTCCCTGGGATTTCAGTCACCAGGGCGGCGCCTGTATGAAGTTCCGGCGGACGACTATCCACTCAGGTTATAGATAAGCAAGATTTTATCTTATTTACATGCTAGCTGGTCGTTGATGGTCGCCACCACTTATTAAACATATTGCTCTCTAATTGTACATAAAACCATTAACTGTTATCGTCAATCCGATCAAGGCGATTCAAAGCAGACGAAGGTTGTGTTTAATGCTACCTAGCTGGACAAGTAGACTAGCAGTGTAACCAATGAATCCCTGCGGAGAACGTTAGGATATCTTTCGTCTAAGATCATTATCCGTGAGTGCACAGCAGGGTAGAGAAGAGATTAGGGATTAGGACATCACATCATAGCCTTCCCGCGCCCACGATTTTTTGTGTTGTTTTGTTTTGTTTTGTTTTTTGTAGTTGGCGGCTACGGCCACGCCGGCTTGAACTGGAAACTTTCAATTTACACCAAATGTATCGATACAAACACTATATACAGTATATTGGCTGTTTGGTGTGTAATTTACTCACAAAAGGCATGCAATGCGAATAATAATGCTTGAAATCTCGAGAAGAGTGATCTGTTGGTATTCAAGAGCGATGGTCAGTATCGGTAACTACACAATGGCTGTCAAACAAAATTAATTTTAAGATGTTACGCTAAGACACGTGAGCACGCGACGTCAACGCTGAAGTTACATCAAATGTCCGTGAGTCAGATTTTCTCTTTGAAGTTTGATTTTGTGCAGGAAACTCTGCCGAGCTACCGGTCTGTACAAAAAGTAACTGAATCGACAAGATCAGCTTGTCATCCGTTAGATTGATATTTCGCCATGTATACACATCGAGATATAAATTTTTGTTTCGTTGTCGTACTTGGATATTCCTAATTGGGTTCCCTTCCACTTAGCTAATACGCAGAGTTTCAACATTATTATGCCCTTTTCATTTGATTTATTTCTTTTTATTTATTCAGTTGTTATTTATTTATTTATTTGGCCACACTACAACATTACTGCAATGAGGTCTTTGTTGAGGTTTTCCTATTAAGAAGAAAAACTCTTTTTCAAGTGTGTTGTCTTTGACGTTTTTATTCAAACTGACGTTTGTTAATTTTCATGCTTATTTTTACAAATTGTTTTATTTGATCGTTGGTACGTTAAACCTTGTTGTTTTGTTTGTCAAAGGCTTTCTTAGATCGAATGGTCATTTGCTTGTTAAAGCATCTAACAAGAAATATAAGGAGTAACGTTACTCGACGTTCCGATGTATCCAACATCATTATCAAGAATACATCGAAACGTCGAATAACGTTACTCCTTCTATTTCACGCTAAACGCTTTACTGTCTAAAGATTATTAAAGAAACACTGGAAACATAACGTTTTTAGCTATAAGGTGACAAAATCACCAAGGATAAGGAAGCGAAGAGAAGAAACAGTTCTTAGATTGCTGACAAAACGCTTTGCCTTTCTCAAAGAGAAAATTTGAAGTAAAATGCACTCCCGGAAAACCCTGAGAGGCCTTCTTAAAGCATCCTATATTAAAGTTACCGAGCAAGCTCATTTTAAATTTGATCATTACGCAGTGGGGCCTGTATTACTGAGACAAATTACCGTGATTGACTCATTGAATGACAGACACGTTACTGATCGCTAGTCCCGGTGTCTTCAAGAACCGGTGGACAAAAGTCGACCAAAGTTATATTTCGGAAAATGATTGACCATTTAAAGATTTTATGCGGCCAGCGTTCATTTTCAGAAACCTGACATGTCCGTGAGAGAGACCTGTTATAAAGAACATATTTCGATTTCAAACAAATTGAGCCTTGGTTGACATAACTTTCAAATACCTGCGTCATCATCGCACATCTACAAGTTTGCAAAGTGGTTGACGTAAACCGACTCTTCTAATCTCAATGGTCAATTCACTTTCAGCAATACGATTTTTCTTTCATCTCAGAAGGTACTTCTGTTTGAGCCTATTGCCATGCAAATAAAATGGCTCTATAGTCCTCGCCGAAGTGACCCAACATTAGAAAAAGCTGAAAAAACTTGCTTATTATTTGCCTGCAATTACTTTTCATTTCTAAACACACCCTAAGTAGCTCTGACATTACAGTCGCCATCTTAAAAGGCGTAAACACCTTTTGAAATGATAGGGAGCCTCACATATGGACGACCCACTTTCCTCTCTGTATTGTGATAGCTAATATATTAATTGGGATGCATGGCCTAAAATCGATTTTTTTATATGAAAGTAATTATACACTATAAGGCCGGTATATGTTTTGTACTACACTGGCAATTCTCTGCGAATATCAGGCCAGTTTTGTCGAGTCATGCGTGTCTTGGTCTAGCATGCATACGGCTTAGACATAGCAATATTTCATTGATATATATGGCGTCTGCCGTTGAAATGGCCTCAGTTGACTGAGATATACTCACTTTGAATCCAGATTAAGTTGTCTTTTTGTGGTTGTAGAATTACTTTATGTAAGGAGATTTTAAAAGTAGACTATGTTGTCCTGTTTCTTGGAGTACCTTTTACGGAGCGAACATAACGTAGGGGCTTGTGTTTTTACTCCATCGCTAGTTTGTCCACAAACCCTCTATTTTGTCTAGCGTTCGTCCAGATCGCAAGCAAGATATTAACCGCGGGAGCCGGGGGATAAGAACGAGCCAAAACCCAAGGGGAAGGATAAATATAAACGCTTGCAGAAGGAAAAAAGCAAACAACAACAACAACAACAAATAACCAAGAAACAAACGTTTGTGGACACACTACCCCGTCGCCTGCCAAACGATCTATAGTAAAAGGACTACTGCTGTGTTAGATCTGGGAGTAAATGGATAATCATGAATAGACAAATCTCGAGGATTGCCAGGTGCCAAATTGTCCGTCTGAGGAATTTTAAAGTGAATCATTTATTTCCAAATTGGAAGTAGTTGTGCCACCTGTTAATATTGAATGCGAACTGTCAAAATGACTTGTTAATTTGGACGCTATCCAATTTTAAAGCTGTTGTGGCAAGTTTTCAAAATTTTAAAAACGGGTAATCGTCCGCTCGCTTGTTTGGGCTGTTGGGTTGCATCGATAAAAGATAATTGCTTGAAATGGTTTCCAAAGACCTCTAAAGGGAGTGTGAAGAGCTAGAGAATTAGATGAGGCTGCTAAATTTGGGACCGGTGACTGGACTTTTTACATGGATGCTTTTAGGTGGAAGGATGAAAATTTCATACATAAAATTTTAGGAAATAGACTATTTATATGGAAAGTGGTCTCAAAAATTGGCAACTTTGTTTTGGCGCTTTTAATACTGACGATCGACTTTGTCACGTGTCAGTTTCGGCAAAGGATCCATCGCACCAATCAAAACTTGGCAACAGTGTAACTGGTTTCAAGTGAATAAACCTGCTGAAGGAAAAATTCTGTCGTATCTGACTTTGGGACAAAATGCAATTTCGAAGTTTTTACTGTAATAAGTCAGTCCAAGTTTTGAATTGTTTTTGAATTGTAAAGGAAATCTTACTTCAAACTGTAACAATCAGAACTATTGCGTTGGAGTTTGAAAAGTAAGAAATTTCCTCTACAGTGGTGGATCCAGAGGTGCAAAAGTAAATGGATGCCATAGAGATTGATAGGGGAAAAAGGGTGACCCTGTATGACGAACGGTTCTTGCTCCATTAGGATGTCACGTGGCCAAAAAGGGAGAGCCGAACTCCTTTCAGTAAATCAACCCTGATTTCGGCTAGCTCTTAGTTACTTATGCTTGTACTGCAGATGTAAGCGACAAAAAAGTGATAATTCAGACTCTATGGTAGCCTCCCACGCAAACGCTCTTTGGGGTCGTCTCGAGGAAGGGAGGTAGGAAGATTGCGTGACGTGACCATATAGCGTCTACGTGGGAGGCTACACTCTATACTTGAACTATGAAAAACAAATGAAGCCGAACTTATAGTTCTCGGTCATTATCGACTCCTTGCGTTATGACTTCACATCCGATGGAGGGATACGGCCAGTGAGCATATACAACAGTTCTAAGAGCGTGCTTTTTCGCCTATGTCACGTCTGTATTGTTGGCTCAAAATGCGTCACGTACTGACATGATGCGAAGGAATCATGCAAGAACTCAGTACATCTGTAGCCTGCAGCACAACAGGCGGATTAGTGGGACAGAGAACAAAACGCGATGCACGAACGCGGAGCGCGACCACGAGCGCGAAGCGCGAGACGAAAAACGCTAATCCGCCTGTTCTGCAGGCTAGTCAATCTGAAACATTCGGACTGATCTCTGCAACGGTTTAGTTGAGCTAAAAGAAAGGATTCTGTAAATGCCTTTTTTCTTTTCATGTTCCTCAGCTTTTTTTGTTTTTTTTATAGTTTCTAGTAAATTGCTCATTTTTGTAAACGAGAGTAATGTTCTCCCTCGCGCTTTCCCGCTCAGTTCTTCCCGTTTTCTTTTTCTTTTTTTCTCTTTTTTTTCGTGCTAAGAACTCCTCGTCTGGCGACGCGTGAGAATTAGAGTTTAGCGATCGCTTGATAACGTTTCTCATCGAACGGTTTTTGTTTGTCATCGCGAATAACTGTTACCAAGGCAAATTGGATGATTTGTCAGTGGGTCGCTCAATTGGTCATATTCAAAATATCCCCAGGGCGTCTGTGTGACTCACAGCGTGCTTTATTGGAGGCGAGATCAATTGACCTCTGATGTCATGTGTTCAATTTGTTCGCGAAAACAATCCATTTACAACTCGCTTTGTTCGCTGAAAACTGCTTCAGGTGATCTTTGTCTGAAACTGATCTGCCGTAAACTTGAACTTCCAGTGAGAAAGGAAACTGGCGACGAAATCACAAGCTTCTGTAAGCTCTTAACAAACATACAATTATTTTAATGATGATGATTTCACTTTCCGCCTGTTTGTTTACTTTACATTATTTAGCGATCTCGTGTTCCAATTGGCATCCATGCTACAGGACCCTTGCTAATCGTTGTTTTATTTACAACTCGGTAGAACCAATTGCGATGCATGTTCTTTGTGGTAATTGCTTTTTGTTTTCAGTGGCCCATGGAATGCAAATTTGCAAAGGTTACAAGATTTATTATCCGCGAGAAAAGACGAGCACACCGCGTTTGAAAATTACTTAATCCACCTCTGCAAAAATTGTGATCGATAAAGATTTGACTAGAACTAACGAGTGTCGTTGAGTCGAACTTACCCAAGGAGCTGGAAGCCATCAAAAAACTTCTGTAACCTACACCGGATGTGAATTTGCCTTGCAGCGATGGCCTCACCGAAGTATATTTTGACATGATTGAAGTTGTCAGTCATAAAATCGATAATAATTATTCGTCCGGCTTTATGTGGAAATACACTGCAAAGAAAATGCGTGAACGTAGAATTACTTGTTGCTCGGGCGATGATATGTTTACGTTTAAATAATGCAGGAGTAAATGAAATTGACAAGACTGTTACAGCGGAAGCTGGTGAGCGGATTTCAAACCGAGAGTAAAAGCCGACAGCGTTTACTTTCAGATCGACCTTTCATTACATCGACATTTACAGATATCATTGTAAACTTTGACGTTTGTTTACGCAGGAACTGTGGTTAAGTGCTGCCTTTGAGAAGTCTGAAGGAAGAGGAACTGGATGAATAAATGATAAACTCTCGATGAAAACCGAGGCAATGTCATCGCCGCAAGCAGACGCTGAAAATATAAACATGGCGCTGCCCGAGCTCCCGAAACGATGGAAATCGCGACTCCAGAGGTTTCAAAGTTCTTTGAGGCGTTCAGTGCGGTTAAAAAGGAGAAATTCACCGCAATCAGCCTCCTGTGTTGACGGAGAGCATTGTGGTGTTCTCGAAAACGATCACGAAAATCTTGCGAATCGATCCGACAAGCACGTGAGGAGAGAAAAACACAACGGCGCGCCAACCAAACAGCTAAATGGCAAGAAAACAACTTCACACTCGCATTACGTGAATGGAAAAACATCACTTGACAGCTATGGTTTTGATAAGCGGAAATCTGAGCAAAGCAAAACAAACGGCAATAACAATCAGAGCGAAAAAAATGCCGCGGAGTCGACTTCGAGGCCTGCACACGTCAGTGAGTTGGCAGTTTACAGTCAAGTTGGATCAGCCCGGCAGAAAAAATCACACAAATCTAAACGACACAGAGCTAACACAAACACGGAAAGGACATCACTCTCGAAGTCTAAGAGCTTGAGTATACTGACGAATTTATTCAAGCGTTCCAGCAATTCAAAGGACAAAAATAACCGTGGGAAAAATTCGTCATTTGCGGATGCGAAAGATTTTTCAACAGCTACTAACAGTGCTGATTTTGATGGTTTGGTAACAGATACTGTTGTCAGCTCCTCGTCGATTGATTCGTTTGGTGATAACGATTCTCGCTTCAGTGGTAGCAAGTATTACTCCTTGAAACGGTCAAAAAAATCCTTGATTTTTCCGAAAAATTACCTCGCGAGATCGTTTTCCTTGGACAATTCACTGGATCCTTGCAACGACTCTCTGATGGAAAAATCTAGAACACTGGCAGCGATTCCACCGAGCATCCGGGTAGAAGAATACCGCGAAAATCGCGGGTGTTTCGAGAGGTCACTTACGGTAGAATTTAATCCAGGGTCCTCTGGCTCGGTAACAATCGATACGGGACCCGAATATTATCAAAAATTGACAGGATGTTCGGCTTCACGCACAGCACAAGTGCTTGACTCGTACACGCGTTCAAGTGGTGCTCGAAAAAATGGTGTTGAACCCGCAACAACGCCAAATATCACCGACGTTGCCGAAAAGAGTTCTGACGCATGGAAGAGACGGTCGGCTCCACCTATTTTGTCATTTTCTACTGATAAAAGCTCATCAAATATTGGATCGCCAATATTCCATGAATTGAAAACGGATATTGTAAAAGTTGAGAGCAGGAGTCAATTGGAAGGTAACAGCGATGAGGATCAGTTCAACTTTTCAGAGAAGGGAAATTCGTCTTCAGAAACCGTCGAATGCACTGACATTTTAAAATCAGATATGGGGAACAACCTGTCCTATGGAACGCAAAACCCGCGAAAATTCAATTCGAAAGATGTTAAGTTCAAATCAGTCATCCTTCGATCGATCAAGAGAAATGGTAAAACTTTCCACGTCAAGTCGTATGATGGCGAAGAGGACCCGATCATTGAGCAGACAGACTATCTGGAAAGTTTTGAACGAGAACTTGAAAATGGGCGATTAAATTATCTCGCCAAAGACGTCAGCCCGGTTAATGAGCTTACAAAAGACAACTCTAATTCATTGTACGAGGGAAGTGAAGCGCTTGGAATTAGTGAACATATGATTGATGCCCTTCAAGGAAATAATTATACGCAAAATTTTTCCGATCTTAAATCAACAGCTGACTGGAACAGTAGTGGAAATCAAAGCAAAGAAAACCGATCTAACGAAGGAAAATGTACTTGTGAAAACACAGAACGTTTACCGAATGAAAATGTAAACAAAGAAGAAAAAGTTTGCGAAGAAAAGTGTTGTTCTTCGACCTTTGGACAAACAGGGCACAACGACTCATCGAAACAAGGAGATTGTTTATCTTGTAAGGAAACAAGAAACAAGTTGACAGATACTGAGTTGAGGCGATGTTCGCCCGTATTTCCTGATCCGTCGTCACGAGAAGTAAATCCCGGTGTATTGAGCGAACAAAAGTTGCGTGATCATATCTCAGCGCAGTTAATCACCTGCGGCTTAGGCGAGATTTGCAATAGCGGTCAGGGATTGGCTAGAAACCTCAAAGTGAATAGTTTACCTTGCTCGCCCAGAGAAAGTGCATTGCCTGTTGAAACAATGCATAGCAGTTTCCCAGACATTAGAAAATTGCATTCTCAACATTTGTCACCAAAACTCTCAGAAAGCAGTGATAGTTTTTCATCCAGTAGTTTACATGTGGAACACAGCTTTGAAAACAATGCAAGTATTGACAGAGGTGGAAAGATAAACAATCCAATGCTTTCCAATGGCCTTTCAAATTGTTCCAAACATGGAGGTATCATTAAGTCTAACTTGAGTCCAGCATCTCCCGAGGAAAGGCAGCGTTCATGTAGTGCAATAATACCATCTAAGTCACCATTACATCGGGTATTACAGACAGAGAACCGTTCTGCATCTTGCTCACAATTGGATAAGGATGGCGATGACAGTTCAACATGCACCAGCCCACCTTATGTCAGACCACGCATTCAGAGTCTTGAGGAGCTGCCGCCATGCACAGCAGCGGTCATCCTCAGAAAGAAGAAAAGCATAATTAGGAAAACTAGAATGAAGCATACTGCTTCTCTATCTTTTGTCGACAATGAGTTTAATGGTATGATTGACAAGAGCAAGCGTCATTCATATGGTGGTTATAGTGACAGAACTTTCCTTGAGCTTCCACATCTATTGCATAGATCCCACAGTGCCGAAAGCCAGTTAGACAGTTGCAACAGTTCACTGCAATCTCTCAACTCCTCGTCATCATTCACAGAAAATGAGCTTGGAAGCACTTTCTCTATCATGTCAGAACTTTCCATCCCTGGTGTCTTGGATAAGAGCTTGGGCCGTTCACGCAGTGTGCCTGGGCTTTTCGGTATCGCTGATATCCGCCAGGCCTCACCCATCCCAGAAGAACGTGCTTCAGTCTCAGAAATGGAGTGGCCTAGCAAATCAGCAGAGAACAGTGATGACGATGATGACGATGATGTGGACGGTGAGGTAGGAACATTAATTTTATTTATTCTATTAATGGCTCAAGTGGAACCTAAATGAAGGTAAATGAGAATAGTATCTTCAAATTAGGGTAATTATCCCTCAAAATAAAATAAATGATAATTTTATTGCCTGCATACATGATGTTTGGCCACTGGGCTAAAATACAGACTTCCCTACATACATATTTCCAAATGTCTTTTCAATGAAAATTGGAAGCAAGACAAAATTTCTAACTTCTTTCAGAATCTATTTCCCCTTTGCAACATGAATGCTTTCTGGACCAGACAGATGATGAGAATAGCCAGATTCATCAGCTTAGTGATATTGTCTCAAAATCTATTTATATTTATGACATTTATTTTTATTATGCCATATATCATAAACTTATTTAGTACATGTACATACGTATTTTATTAAATGTTTCACCAAATTGCCAGTGAAATTTATATTTCGGGCTTAGACATGTGCAGGTAGCTGCCCATACGAAACAGCTAGATCTCGATTTTCTAGGGCTTTTCAAGACAAATTTAACGTCTTTAGAATCTAGCAAATGTCTTGAGAGACTCTTCAAATGCTGCTTCACCTGTTTGTCTATAATGAAAAGTCTTGAAGTTTCCGAAAGGTTCGGACAGAAGGAAGATAACAATTAATTTCAAAGGAATTCAGCGGAAATTTCAGCAGAAATTTCAGCAAAAATATCTGCCTTTATTAGTGTGTTATGTACAATATGTGCATTAAGGGCGTACATGTATATAATATAAATACTGGAAAATGTTAATTGGAGAGTACGATAGCAGGAAGAAGAGAAAAAAAATATTATAAAGAAAAGTGTGCGAAATTATTATAATAACAAGTTTAGATAAACATGTTTGATTTGATGACTGAGAGAAGGGTTTTCCCAACTAAACGAGATCTAGAGTGACTTACAGTTAAATAAAATGTTCAATTCACCTCGGTTATTGGCACACATTTCTTTCAATGTTAGCTCTGAATGTGATGGTACTGTCTAAGGCAATATCTCCTGGTTGATAATTTTCTTATATTGTCATTAGCTTTCTACTTGTCAGTGTATTTTCTTTTAAAAGGAGAAATTGGATTTCAATCATTTTTGGTTATTACAAGGCTGTGGAAGTGTTGCCATACTGATGGTTTACAACCAGATTTACAGTGTTCCATGGAATCCATTGGTCATTAAAACTATTTGTCGTCATCTGTTTTCTGTGACATAGTTCATGCATGTCGAGCTCTCTCCATCAAGGAGTTCAAATCGGTGACAGAATCTTCTAAGGGAGCCCAACAAAAACAAAATGGGGTGCGGGGAAGGTGAGGGTTATGTGACCTTAATGTTACACTAGAATCCTTTGGCGGGGAATGGGGGTGGGGTGGATAACTATAAATTCTGTTAGTCATTCAAGCTCTATAAAATCTGTTTCTAGTAGTGTGTATGTGGGCGTTGGTCAGATTGCAAGCTTTTGCCCCTTTCCATTGCCTTAAAAATGTTTTTACCATTCTTTAACAACTTGCAAACAACAGGGCCTCACAGACTGTAGCCACTAACAGGCCAACCAAGGCACTTGCTTCAGTAACACACACACAAAAAAACAAAAACACATAATGACGTTATTTCTTTATTTAAGACCCTGTAACAGCTACATTAAAAAAAAAAATAATAATAATGAACATGATATTCGAAAAGTAATAGTCAAGTATGAAAGAAATAGTTTTCCCTTTTCTGAGACTGTGTCCATAAGAATTTATGTCTGGCTACTGTACATATAGGCTTACATATTTAGATTAACACAGGGAAAGATTTAATTTGAGAATGTCATGCAGCTGGGTGTTTTATTGTTATGATGCTCTAAAGGAGAAAAAACGCAGCTACCTGTCACTGTTCACAGTCTTCACAGTGCTGCTGAGTGTTAACAGATTCACAGGCCACCCCACATGAACTTCCATTACTAGCTACAATCCTGGCCAAAAGTCCTTGGGACAAAATGCAAACCTGATGACACATTATTTTTCAGTGGGAAGTCATTATTCAATTTTGGGAACCCCCATCCCCCCAAAGCAATGGTGGACTAGTGGGTCTACTTTGGATGAAACAACATCAACATTGCATTGGGGGTGGGGAGGTAGAGGTAGACAGAACGACCATATGTTGGCAAAAGTGCAAAGTGTCCCAAGACTTTTGATCAGGATTGTAGTTCCAAGTTACATGTATTTGTTAAAATAAATCAGCAGTATACTTCTAATAACATCTGTGATTTCCTTTCTTTATCCACCTTCCTTTGCCACATCCACACTACTTCATAGTCTCACCCTACCCCTACCCCCCCTTCTTGCACCCCCCATCATTTTTGACTCCTCAGTAAATATCAATGAATAAAAATTGCAAGATATTAAAATCAAACGCATGTGGCCAGAAATGATATTTGTTTTTAGAAAAAAAAGAAAAAGAAATATTTGCAGCATACTGATGTTGCAAATGTAGATGTTATCAGAAATAAAATGTGTGATCAGTCTTTATAGTCAAAGGGGCTCAGTCACGGCATTTTGAGTGAGCTTTTTTGGCGAGTACAAAATTCCCTTCAAATTGAAGGAAACCTGAAAATAGGAGTTTACTAAGATAAAAAAAAGAAAAAAAAACACCAAAGAGATAATGGTAAAACACAAAGGATTGAGAAGATTGACACGGATTACAAACGACGAACTTCAAAACTTTAGGCTAAACTTTTCAAGATACGTAAACCGTGACGTAGCCCCTTTAACATACTTGCAAATAATTGCATTTTCGCCTCTTTTGACGTTGACCGACCAACTTTAAGAATTTAACGTGATAATCTACTTTTTATTTGAATGAAAAATTTACTTGATCTTCTAATCCTCAAGAGGGTTATTTAGCTTTGTTTAGTAATCTACTTCGCAGAGTTATCGATTGTTGCTCCGGAATGCAGGAATTAAGTCGCGTAAAATAATAGCAAAGTAGTGTTTTCATTTGGATTTGCGTTCACAGAGGTATAGAAAAAGGTCAAATAAAATTTTAATTAATAAGCCTGAATGACCATTGCAGATCGAGAACGTGAAAAGCAAGAGCAAAATCTATAAGGTAAACTTTTTTAACATGCGGCTTTAGGTCTTTCTATCAACTTTACATACCCGAAGATGTGCTGCTTTCTGACATTGCACCGGCAGATTTTTGACAGCCCGAGGCATGGAAAATGCTACAGCTAAATTAGCATGCTTGACGTGCTGTCAGGGATTTCGTCAGACCAAGCAAACAAACTGGGCCATGGATAGATCGAGTTTCAGTGCTGAACTCCCAGAACCATGCAGCCAGTTTTTTGAGCAGTTTGGAATTAATTTAGATTCGTGGAATCGATAGCGAGTGAAGCTGCTGTTCTAGTCAATTTCACAATTTGAAAAGTCATTAGTACCAGTGTTTAGGGATTGTGTTGAACTGTTGTCTAAAAACGTAACTCGCTCCATCGCCCTCCCACAAGAAATCACACAGGTTGGAAGCAGAACATGGCCGCTCTGATATCTGACTATATCTGTAGTATCTGGATTCGTTGCTGTTACTAGATTGCACAATAAGCTTACGAGGTAAGATAATTCTCGTATCATCCGTCCAATCGCAGTTATTTTTAATGTATTGGTCTTTGAGCTAATCCAGGTCTGACATTGATCATTTACGTACCCCTATTTGCACGCTTAGTGCTTATCAGTCGATAACTAGAAAATATTACCTTCCAGGTCGAGATATGGTTATCCTATGAATCATGACTACCGATACATGCAAGAATCTCTCTTTGTTTATTATTTCAATGCAGTCGATAATGAAACTATAAACAGTTCATTAGCAAGTTTCGTGCTTTCACTGATGTAAACTACAGATGTTTGCGAACGCTTTTGCTACCACCTTGATGGTGTTGTCTTGTCTTATATTTCACGGTGAAAATGACGCACTCAAAAAATTCAAAAGGATGTCAGTTATAGAAACAGAGATCATATTAAACTTCAGAAGTATTCGTGGATGTCTGAATTCATCACAGCTCGTCAGTCATATAAAATTAAATTGCTCTCTTCCTTGCTGTACAACATCGTCATTTATAAAAGTCCCAGTTTTAATTGAAGTCGTGGTTCTAATCATTTCATCGTGGATTTAAACCGCAAAATCTCATGCGCTCAGAATTCACCACAATTCTAAGAGGTGATGTGAGCGACTGAACGATGAACACGTCGCGCGCGCGGGTTCATTTTCGGCTTGTACCCTCGTTTTCTAAATCTACACTTAAATTGTACCAGATTCGGTCTCGCCAGACTCCGGCTATTAGCTTTCAAATATCGATACAGTAAAAACACATTTATTTTTGGGTGCTAAATGCTTACCGGCGTCCAAATTGGTGTGTAAACAAAACAACTTAATATAGACTTGGTGGAAATATAAATAGACATTTTAAAATAGCACAAAGCTAAACCGATCAAATTCTCCTTGTATTCGCGTTTAACCAGCCGAAAAGTTTTCTGTTTTCGGTAAAACGTTCATATCGTTGAGATTCGCACGGTGATTTTGAGAACGTCATTATTTGTCATTAGAGCACTTTGAGTATTTAATTCATTATCCATTAACTTTTATTTAATATCCGTGGGAAAGTTATTTTTTGAAAGTGCCGAACCACAGAAATGTGTTTGTGTTCTTTGTTTATGTGCGCCTTTTGTTTGAATTTAAATTTATGCCCTGTGTTTGCAAACATCGTAGAATGTTACTGTGTCTTCGGGATTGCGTTTCATTGTGGGGTGTTTTGTCGGTAAATGGTCTTTGCTGCATTAATATGATTATAATAACTGTTAATTAAAATGTTATCATTTGAGCGATGCAATTAGCATGTAAATTTTCCAAAAGAATCTTTTCGAAGTCGGGTTTTAGAGTTCGCGAGAATAATAAGATATAGATCACAAAGGAAAAGCAGTCGTTAAGGTAAATTCTCCCAACTAAACTACAGGAAATGTACTGAAATCTGTAAGAAGAATTTCAATTTTGAAACTAGAGCAGTGCTGAGCGTCCAGGTATTGCTAAGAGCACGGTGATTCTACTTTGTCATTCGCTCTACTTATATATCCGGCGATCTATACTGAGTTCATTCTTGAGAAAACAAGACTACTTTAAGCTGCCTCTCCGAAAGCGTGCCTTTCTGTTTGTCAAAAATCCAACGAATGTACCACAAAGGCATGTTTGTTTCTATCGTTTTGTTTTCGGACGTTTTCGCGGTAAACCGTGCAAACAGAAACGGGATATTTGTCGATGTTTCTTCCTTTCGTGAAGTTTAGTTCTTAACGATACTGTGCATGCATCTCATACTGATAGGCGCTTTTATAAAACTTGGATGAATTTAGTAAAAGGGCCAGGCTTGATCAAAACAGTTACTGGACTTACCTTTTATAAGCTAAATCAATAGACAAGGTTTAGAGAGACAAGAGACGTTTTTTAGATTTTTTTTTAAAGTGATTCAACGAGGTAAAGGCGTCGCGGTTTGACTCTAGTTGTCAATCGTTCGTTGATATGCCACTGGAGTTTCCTTGTTGTTTACTGGGGTGTCGTTTCATTTTAATGGCTTCAAGTTGGCCTTTAATTACTCTGCCTTGCGAGAAATCTTTCCAATATATAAATGTGTTAAAAATATACTTCCAAATAGCCGGCGCGTTAATTAGTGGTTTTCACTCTGTGGGGCGAGAATTGAAATAAAAATACGTCTGTGAATTGGAGAAGAAGCGCACGTAAACATAAACACGCATTTTCTAGGGACATTTACTATGTGGAAATATTTGTGGGTTGCGCCTTATCTTTACCTCGGTCACCGTTTAAGAGCATTTCATGGAAAAAAAACTCGCTCGCGTCATAGTTTGCGCAAATACTGAAATAGAGGTTAGTTGATGCAGAAATGCCAAACACACACGCACACCACCAACGCAATATCAGGCCCAGTTTCTTGCAGACCAATATCAGCCGATAACTTCAAGTCGCTTCTTTTACGCGCACGCACCTACTTCAAACTCTCTTTTCTTACTTCCGTTTTACGTGACAGATGGATGTACCAGAAGCCTTTGCAGAAGCGCTGTGGGATCACGTGACCATGGACCCGGAGGAGCTGAGTTTCCAAGCGGGTGACATCATCACTGTGCTGACCATGACGTCATGTGATTGGTGGTTCGGTCAAGTCGGGGATCAGGTCGGCTGGTTTCCTGCGCCGTTTGTTCGGGTGAGTAGATAGACAGGGTGACATGAATTTTTCTGGAGTGGCGCGATGAACGTCGTCACGCCAACTTGTCACAGTTAGAGAAGAACACGCCACTCTGCAAACCATGTAAATGTTCAAGTACTTCGAGTTCTCGGATTGCGTGACGAAAGTCGTCGTGTCACGCCAACTTAATATGGCTGGGATAATTGATTCGTGACGTAATCCCACCTTCACCAGAATCTTCAATCGATTGTAGTTCGAATCTTTCCTTTTTCTATTCTTTAGGTTCGTGTGTCACAGACGTTGGCCGCTGACGAAACGAAACTTGCTCCTCCTGTGCGGACAAGAAAAGGAACTAATGAGGGGTTCCTGTCTGACGACGTCATCAGATCACGGGTTGTGCTAGAGATCCTCAGCACCGAGAGAGATTACGTCAAGAACCTGGAAGATGTGGTCGAGGTGAGCTGGAGAGAGTGCTTCAATTGTGTAGTGACCTCCCACTATCATAAGCCGGCAAAGCTTACATACATGTAATCGATCAGCTGTTTGTGGAGCGAGTGGGGATAAATGACTGGAGAAACAACTTTTTAGAGTCAAAAAAGCGTGACCGAGATCCTCATTTCTTAATAAGTCAAGGGAGAACCCGCGATTAACAATTCTTAGACGTATCTCGAAAGGGACGGGACGAGCAATTCAGCACACGAAGGAAAACGAGTAATTGTTTAGGCTATCTCGACTTAATTGTGAAGTTTTTCCTATTCTTCTGACAGGGTTATCTGAAACAAGCGCGCAAAAGAACAGACATGTTTTCCGAGGAGCAGATTACGAAGATATTCTCTAACATCGAGCAGATTTATCTGTTTCACCAGGAAATCTTGAGGCAGCTCGAGGAGTGTTTTGTGGAGGATGACCCATACGCATCTGAAATTGGCGCTGTGTTTCTTAATAACGTAAGTTTTATTGCGATCATGATATTAGGAGAGGGAAACTCGGAAGTCAAGGGTGCGAGAAGTCTACGGGAGGCGGGGAAAGAGAGGCTAGAATAGGGATTTTTCAAAGGGGGGTGGGGGCAGAAAATTCACACCATTACGAAGTATTTTGCCCACCCCTCCCGCTCCAATCCCTTCTCATTGCTCCACTATACCAGCAGCTAGTAGTTTTTGAAGCTAATTGGTCTCGTCTGTTACGCGTTACAGAAACAAGGCTTCGACATTTACTCTGAGTATTGTAACAACCATCCGCATGCAATGGCTGAGCTTAAAACCCTGTGTGCAAGTAACAAGTACAAGCAGTTTTTTGAGGTATGGCACTCTTTTGTCTTTAGAATAGTGAACCGTAATTGTCATGTCGTAACGGCCTCGTGCGTCTCGCCTTGGCTCATACAAAAGACATAAACAATACAGTCAAACCTCCACTTCCGGCCACCTCTTTACAACAACCTCTTCTTAATGTCCCCGCGGACGGTCCATACATTCACTCTAATTTTAACCTCTACAACAGCGGCGGCCACAAAAACTCGTTCCAACTGCCTAAACAACCTCTTAAAAACGGTCAGTTAATCAACGATTGACTAACAGTGCATACAAAACTACATCTTGTATTGTAAGGTGACGAAAATTGATCTATACCGCGCTTCGTTGGTCTCTGTTTCTGTTTAGTTTCTGTGTTATCGATATATTTTGACTGTGTTACGTATTTACGTGTTGAATAAGCATTGTATTAAAATAAAAATGTTGCAGGTACACCGCTACTTCCCCATAACGGCCACCTCTCAGTCTTCCACGGCCACTTTCCTGTGTACGCGAAGTGGCCGTTATGGAGAGGTTCGACTGTAGTTTAGAATATAAGTTTAAGGTATGTTTGGATGAGTATCAATAACGTATGTGAGCTTAATATTTTTTGTTATTTTCATAGGCGTGCCGTCTTCTTCGAGACATGATAAGCATATCGTTGGATGGATTCTTGCTGACACCGGTGCAGAAGATCTGTAAATATCCCTTGCAGTTGGCGGTAAGTCTCGTCACTGTTTGTGTGTTCGTTATTCTCAAGGCTTTGCTTTCTTTTGCACATTTAGATTTTGCCTTATAAAACGTGGCATAAAGTCGTTTCTGCCGGGTTTGCAGCCTAATTGGTAGCGCGTCGAATCCCCAGAATTCAAGCCCTGGATTCGAGGTTATTCCGTTGTGTCTTGGGCAAGACACTTTAAACTGCTCTTCAATACTGCTATTTACGCTGTAGAATGATGGACACCGGATAACCGCCGGGACAACCCGACAGAATGCTTGAGATGCGAAGGGGCAGGGGACAACCTCTGATGGATTTGGGTACCATCTAGGAGAGGGCTAAAACTGGAGTTTTCACCGACTCTATTAACTGCTCCTGGACTTGGGAATAAAACTAAATCAATATTATTGTTGCCTTGGCATTGTTACCTTTTGTGTGGTTCAAGGACTTTACATTTTCAACATGGATGTTGTGAGATCTAAAGTTCATTTTTCCCCTTTCTTCCGTCCAGGAGCTGAAGAAGCACACGAGCCCTGCTCACAAAGATTTCCAGACGGTCAAGCAAGCACTAGAAACCATGAAAGACGTGGCTTCGTTAATTAACGAACGCAAACGAAAAGTTGAAAGCATCAACAAGATCGCCAAGTGGCAAAGTACGATCGAGGGGTGGGAGGTGAGTTGAAATTACTCATTATGAAGGGTGGGGTGGGACGGAGGGAAACAGAGCTTGTTAAGGGAGGGGAGTTGAGTTAACACCACTGAAGATTGCTATTTTTTTGAATTCTGTTATATTTGTAACCTTTTCTCTTTTCCTCCATGAAGGGAGAGGACGTGTTAGAGAGAAGCTCGGAGCTGATTCACTCAGGAGATGTGATCAAGACGTCAAATGGAAGCTCGCAAGATCGCGTCATGTTTTTGTTCGATCATCAACTTGTGTATTGTAAAAAGGTAAGGGAGCTTTAAAATAACAGTGTAAGTAATTCGAAAAATATGTCTAAGAGTTTAAAGATAAACGGGAAAAAAAACAACGATGGTTAACGTTAAAGAGAAGATTGAGATCGAAGCACACCGTGTAGGAATTTGTTTGCTTGAAAGTACAAGTAGACAATTAAACCCTGAGCTTGCAAGCGGACATCTACGGCTTTCTTTGCCAAGACGTTTGCTTCCTCTAGCTAACCCCAAATGGTTCTCACCTACGCGATAAAGCGGTTTTCAATTAAGTGGCTCAAAGCCAAAACCAAAGTAGGCCCTCAGACCAATCACAAAGGACACAGAGAATACAGTGAACCAATCAAACTCGAAGTAAATACATCTAGCTGACGCAAAGCGCGGGAAAACGTGTGCGAACGAGTGACGTTTGGTTGTGGTTTTACTTCTGATTGGATGACAGAGTAGCGCGAGTTTTTAATGCCAAATGTGTAGCGTTGTTGATGCAAAACCATTTACTTTACTGTACCCAAATAAAAATCGCTCTATAACTTAGTAATATTGATTGCTTCCAATTACTTTTACTTTGCTTCGCTGAGAAATCGTTTTACAAACTCACGCCACCTGTTTAATCAATGATGAAAAACCGAATCGTACGTTAACGCTGTCACTGACGATTTCCCGCGATTCTTACCCGGTTCGTGTATTTGTTTCGAGTTCCTATTGGTCCGTTGTGTTGCTAATGCTTGCTGTGATTGGCTCTTGTAATTACATTGGTTTCTGGAATGGTTCTTGTTTTGCTTTGCTACACTTTGTGATTGATAAAAGAAAAAATATATTCGAGACACACATGCACAAGACCAATCAAAAGCAAAACAAAAAAACCTCTGCTTTCGTCCATCTCAAAAGAATGTTAACGTGTTTTTACCTTTGTTGCGATTAGACATTGAAAAATGATTTAGTTTTGATTACGGCAGGCTCGCAATTTAAAGTTGCTCTAAGGGCTTTTTTTGTTCTTGGATTTAGGACATCTTAAAGAAGAACGGCCTGACATACAAAGGTAGAATAGACATGGATGATTGCACAGTGATTTGGCTTAGAGACGGAGAAGGTAAGTTTAGGTTAAAAAGTTTTCTAATCCTACTTTACATTAGCGTCATGTAGACCTGCTTTGTGCTTGTCACGCAATTGAACCTTCAACTGAGTTTGTGACAGGCTCAAAGAGCTTCTGCGTTAGAGCGTAAGACACATAATGACCGCAAGTCGGAAAATTTTTTTCCCAAAGGCCGCGATCCCTTTGGTCAGCACCAAGAAATTGAGACCTTTGGGGGAAATGGGAATTTGAACCAACACTAGGCACAGCGGTTACTCTCTCTACGCATGTTGATAAACCGTTATTGACTTTGAACGCATGCGCACAATAAACAGACCGGGATCTTCGGGTTCCGGTTTATTGTTTCTTCCTAAGCGTCGAGCGTTCGGTCACTACAGACCGAAAATGCGCGGACCATGGAAACGAGATTGCATCTGATTCCAAAGGAAGCTTTGCTAATAAGACGTTTTGTGTTTCTATTGAAGAAACCCTCGATAGATCACCTCTTAACAACGCGTGGAAAATCTACAACTTCAAGAAAGAGAAGTGGTACATATTCTTCACCAAGAAAGCGGCTCACAAAGAAAGGTGGATGAAGGCGTTTAAAGACGAGAGGCGGAGAGTCAAAGAAGATGCAAAAACAGGTAAAAACAAAAAAAGTCTCTCGAGGATGTGACAAAGGAGACTGGGACCTGATATGTTGCGTGACAATTCTACTCGAACGTTATAGCGACGGAAAGACTAATTCAGGGGATTGCAGTGGAGATTTAGTATTTAGGGCTAAGCAATGTTTCAGGCCTAGCTTAGTACCTTAACGTTAACTTAGGGTTAGGCAGAGAATTGGGTTAGGTTAGGGTTAGTTTTAGGGTTAGGGTTAGAAATCAAATATTGTAAAGATCACCCATGTTCGCCGGCCGTGAAGATACGTGTATAAATTTCATTTCTTATAGCATTGAAAAAATAGGATTTTTTTTCATCCCCTACGGAGGTGCATGTCACGGCATTGTGAAGTCGCAAACTGTGTTTACATTGTTTGGAGGAAAAGTAGAGCCGCAAAAATGGCTATGCTAACTCTTAGTTCAAGTTTAACGTAATTTATACTTGAGAACAAATCGTATCTGTGTTTCAGGTCTCATTATATCACAAAACACAAGAAAAGCCGCCATGCGAGCAGCAAAAGCATCCGTCAAACACAAGAAAGTCAATGGTGAGTCAGTTAAAATTTGTTCTGTTGCTATTCACTACATTAATATTCGAACAAGTACCCGTTGCGACGAAATCTCGTCTTTGAGATTTCACTGCGCCCACGATCGATCTTCGTCATGGAGATTGCTAAGCAACCTGGAGTATGCATTTTTTTTCGCCATACTCGTCAGCGGTCGTGTTGTGTTATGATTGCATATTAAAAATCGGGAACTTTCCGACTACTTCAATTTAATTGGCCTCCGCTCTCCGGATTGAGCGGTCCGGGTTTGAACCCTGGCCAGGAACATTGTGGTGTGTTCTTGGGCAAGACATTTAACTCGTACAGTGCCTCTTCCCCCACCCCCTCCGCCCTCGCCACCCCTCCCACCCAGGTGTATAAATATTGGTGCGATGGACTTAAGCATCCCATCCAGAAGGGAGTATAAATACTTCCAGTCGCTTCCTGCTACTGAAACTGGCGATAAGCGCCGGCCTGATGGGCCACTTGGCTTGCAGACTTTGCCTTTACATTTACTCGCACTCTATGGTTCCTTGAGTCATTTGTTTTTTCCTTTTTATCAGGAAAGAAAGAGAGGCCATTCCAGAAAACTCAGTCTACCACAGAAATCAAGGCACCTCCTTCTCCCACATTACAGCTGCCAGAGCCAGTATCAAGTGCGGACCTTAGGGAACAAGATGATGAAGACAAAGAGTTCGGAAGATCGTCTGTCATTAGAAGAAGCTTTGGTTTACGAGGCTCAAAAAAGGGCAGTAAAGAAAAACGCATCAGCTCGGTCTTTTAACAGAGATGGATCCTCGGTCTCGTCCCAGACGTTTCTCCTTCGATATTTCTGAGATAGCCTGGGGAAAACATCACCACGACATAAGTTCAAACCCAACCCAGTCCGAAAAGGCTTGGAGGCGAGACTGCAATCAGCTTTTCCAGTCATGATCAGAGCGCGCGATGTTGCTAAGCAACAAGCCGTCAACTGGTGGCGACAAGTGATTGTTATTACAATTTGCGTCTTGCCTGGGCTAAGTTATGACGTGACTCAGCAAGGCTTTGACAAAATGCGTCGACTCGCGTATTTATGAAGAGGGTTTAAGGGGAAGATCAGAGCCAGAAACTCAGCTTGTTTCCGTGACACCCATCTTACTCCGCTTGATTCAACTCGCCAAAGGGGAACTTTTGGGACACCCATTTTCTCGTCAGTAAACGTTCGGGAACCACAACCTGCTTCGTGATGCGATTCAGAAGATTAACACACTCAAACATTAAACCCAAGAACTCAGAGGGGATTTCTAACAAATGACCTCCACTATATAAAATTCAAACAGTTGAAATTCTTTTTAATAGCAGTTTTATACACTAAAGTAAGTTTGAGTTTACATTACAGCACTAGAATGTAACAGAAAAAAAATCATATTGTGACTTGTGCTAGCGGCTCAAAATGGAAATACTATTTAACTCGTGCGAAAAGAAAAATATTTTTTTCCTTATATGCCAAGATTCACGGCTACAAGTTAGCCGGACAAAATATAGACAAGTCGGTAGGTGCTCGTTATTTTTGGTTGCTTTTGTTAGTTTTCCTGTAAATGTTTCACCGAGAAACCAGTGACATTCTTTATTTGAAAATAGATATACTCTTCGTCTGCAACAATAATTTATCATTTCATTCTGTAATCAACAGAATTAGTTTATAGCGAGACCTGACTTGAAACAAAATTAGACTTATAAAATGACGTAATGGTGAAACTGGTTTTCATCGCGTCACATAAACAAGAGTGAGACTTGTGTCTGTTCTAGGGTTTATCATTATTTGCTCCTCGTATTAGGATATTTTTCGCTTTAATATTGTAGTGACATTGATGTTAGCTTGAAATTTTTATATTTTATGGCGAATTGATGAACGAAGGCTCTTTTGATATAACGCAGCCGAATGTAACCACCCTCTCGTTCTTGAAAGAATAGGACGAGGTTCTAGAGACTGAAAATGAAGTCGTGCAACACGTTTTAGAATTTAAATGCCGTAACTGAAATAGATTTGAGATACAGTTGACGGTTCAGTTGTTACTAAAGAAAATTGTGATGCCTAATTATACAGGAATATGAATGTTCTTTGCGAGAAAATGCGTAAAGAAATGAGTTCGTGTTTAAAATTAGAGAGACATTTTGAAGATATTTTAAATGGTGTACTGTTCATTCTGAACGGGTTTGTACAGGATGTGTTTATTAAGGACGTATTAAATTTATATCAAAGGTCGTCTGTGTGATTCAATACTTTTAATCTTTCTTTTTCCTATGATCAGTTCCAAGTATTAATAAGAGAAAAAAAAAAAACTTTGATGATAAGTCTCAGCAGACTAATCATCGATATCACGAGCGTACTAACGTGCGTCGGCCCAGATGGGTTGACGTAAGCCACGTCACTATAATTACGTCATGACCTCAAGAGTCAGATATTCCAGTCTACCCGCCACTCAGGCAATACTCAACATGCAGTGGACTGTTTCGGGTATTGACGCAGCGATTTTCTCCCAATATTGATTGTTAATCATTGAACTTTGTATTATTTTATTTTATATTTTGTATTTCGTGCCGGTATCACCATCGATATAGTAATATTCTCCAGTCTTAGGTGAAGAATCGGGAGATGAAGGTGAATCCGTCGGCAAATGTTTGTAATCCCCCTCGTTTTTTTTTTTTTTTT